TCCAGGAGGAAGTGAGGACAGCGGTGGAAGAAGGAGAGGTCCAGCAGGGCAATCAGCTTGAGGAAGCAGGGAGCCTGGACAAGGTGGGGGCTGGCCATGAACCGAAAAGTCACATTGACTGATCTCTGGCAGGCTAAACGAAGCATGTCAAGGTCCTGCCCAGGCCATTGAACCTCTTCATCTGGGGCAAATGCTCAGACATTGGGGACGTTGGAGCACATCCTGAGAGGCTCTCGGGCAGGGCAGGTACACCTGGGGCCAAGACCAGGTTCTAAAATACTTTGCAGAAGCATGGGAGCAGCATGGGAATCAGCAGACGAGATGCCCCACCGCATTGATGATCCCCTTTGTGAAGGCTGGAGTGCAGCTACCAAGAATCACAGCAGCCAAGAAACTGTCAGGAATCCTGGCAACTGTGTAAGCATAGCAGCTTTCTGTGGACCTGGTGGACCTGGTGGAACATCGCCACAACCACGAGGCCAGACATCCTCCTGGTGTCAGAGGCGATCAAAAGAAACCTTGGGAGGACTGCTTGGAGGAGGCCCACAAGAGGAAGAAGACCATAATACAGAGACCTGGTGTAAGGTGCATGCCCATTCAGGTTGGCTGCAGAGGTTTTGCGGGGCAATCACTCTCCAAAGCCCTGAGTGGATCACTGGATTGGAGAGGAGAAGAACATCACAGAGGCAGTGGAGAAAGCCTTGAGATGACTCTGATTCAAGAGAGGAGGTCCATGGGAGGATCATGTGCTATCTGAACACAAGTCATGGTCTGATCACCACAGCTGGGTCGCCTGGGAGAGGGTGTCTGAGGTTGAAAGACCCGCAACACCAAACGACCCCAGGATACATCATGGATGATGTGTTCGGGAACATCGAAGACATGTACTCTATCAATCCTCTGCAGGTAAATTAATACCATGTATTTGAGAATTAATGACAGTTAAGCCATTTTTTGAGCAGTACTGGGGCTACCAATGTCCTAAGGGTAGCATTAGTAAAATAAATACCAATCAAGGACATCAAATTAAAAGGGTTAATTTCTTGCGAGCGAGAATGTTCTGAGCAAACTGCTGTCTGTATCGTTTGGGCTGAGTTGACAGTAGTGGTGCTGGAAGAAAGCTGTCCGGAAAGGCTCAGCCTCAGGAGTCATTTTAGTACATTTTACAGCAATCTACACATTTGGGGGGGCACCATAAATATAATTTGCATCGGGCAAAAAAAATGATTTAATGGAAATGTATTGATTCGTTTTCATGCACCAAAGTGTTGGTAAAGATGAAAGTGTAACAGTCAAAGATACCTCTCTACAGTGTCACATGTATCACACTACCTGACTGCTATCCAATATTTCATTTAAGACCAATACTCTGCCTATGTGACACAGTATTTGTAACTTTGAAAGATTTTTCTCACACAAAATCTGCATTAGTTAGAGCCCCCTTTTTGTTTCTCTTCAAGAAACTGCCTGGCCCGCCTTAATGAATTGCTACCTATCGTGAAACACATCACTCATGATCTAACCCTGACAGATAAAAGGAGAAATCTAAATCTGGGATTTCTGAAACTGCTTTGACAAATATATACGCCATCATCCTAAAAAGTATCCACATCACACATCAAAAGTGCATATTGGTTGACACGTATACATGTGCATCAGGGCAATGCTCATTCTGTGGTTTATATCTTGTGCATTAAATGTTGATCTGTAAACAGTGACTATCAACCCCGTCACTGTCGTTTAACAAGACCCAGAGCGGGTTTAGAGGGAAAAGGCTCTGAAGCCTCAGGCTGCTGACAATATCTACATGGCAGAATAAGTATAATGGGTTCCTGAGTGATTTGGAAAAAGCTGCCAGAGAGACGGCCCTTTCTTTTTTTGTGTGGTTGTTTGTCTATCAATTAGAGAGTCGATTAAATAAATGTTGTTGGGCTCCATCTCGATGCTGGCAAAGAACAGAGCTGTCTAGAGACACACCTACAGGAGGTTCCCAGCCAAAATCCCTTTCAACACATTCCTGCTCAATAAGCACTGCCGCACAGAGATATTGGGCTCTATTTGGGGACTCAGACGTCTAACAGCCAAACCGCATACTGACACTTTGCTCCATCAAATAGGGAGCACAGCTCTAAGCCGTGTCTGCTGTAGTGTGGTCACTGTAGCAGACATGTGTCTTTGGTAGAGATACAACCTAGTTTTAATTGAATTCATAGCAAGAAGCACAGACAATGCATCAACTAATTACATGAACTGATACTAGTTGGAAATGCAAATTTGTGGGGAATAATCTCCTTTCTTTAGCCAACTCACTTGTGTCATTGTACACAGCGCAGCTGGATTGTGTTTGATGCTCTGCTGCTCTCAGCAGACACTGGTACAACCTCCTCTACAGCCGTCCAGTGTGACTGAAGCCCGTTCAGACCTGGCACTCACATGATCCCATCACAAGTGGACAGCCCAAGTACGTCTGGCATTAGAATGTGTCTCCACATGCACCTCGAGTGAACACTTGTGATCGGATCTCACTTCCCCGCTCTAAATGCAAATAAACCCGTAGCCTACATCAGGAGGTTTTTTACTATAACATGCAATGCAGGATTTAAAAGGCTATTCTGGGGTCTGAATTAAATTACTTCCAGCAAACTTCAGAGCGAACAATGAGAGCAAAACAGAATCACCTTTTATTTTACCAAATCTTCTCTGGTCTAGCTCAGATACAAAGTGTGCGCAGTGTTTCACAGAATTAGAATTCGATTTGTGGTGATAGCCTACCGGGGGGCGTGACCTCCAGTTCCCTTCCACCACTGTCCTTCCCGTTTGGATTCTAGCTACTTCCCTGAGAGGGGAGTAGCTACTCCAGTGCACTAAGGTTGCTTCTTTCTTTTTCCATTTTACGGCGAGTGGCAACCAGCGTTAAGCTGCTTTACCTAGATTGAGAGCTGCTAGGAATATTTGAAGGAAACCCAATGACAGACGCCAATGAAAAGATAGAAGAGTGTAGACCAGGGGCCTCAAACTCCCGGCCCGCGGGCCAAATCCGGCCCGCCACGTCATTTTATGTGGCCCGCGAATCCGCCAGTAAAAAAAAAAGAAAAAAAATTTAAAGTTAGACTTGATAATAAAAATATCCCCATAGTCGAAATGATGAGATAGAAAGTCGAGGTTATGAGATAGAAAGTCAACTATAATAGAAAGTCATAATTCTGAGATAGAAAGTCATAATTATGAGATAGAAAGTCGAAATGATGAGATACTTAAACACACAGTCATAGAAGCAGCTCTTTGGCTGGTTACCCTACATGTGACATGGAAATGCATTGTGAGTACATTGAAGTCTACTTTAAACGTGTCTTTACAACACATGAAATACTTCACGTGGGATTGTGCAATCGCACCCTTGAAAGGATTTTAAGCGTTGAACAAAGTTATTGTAATAACTTGTTTGATATTTGTCTTTAATAGTTTGATCTTTGATAGAGTAATGTGGGTTTATTAACCCTAAATTAAAAGGATTTAAGTTATAATAACAAATGTGCTTAAATATATATTTACATTTATATAACTGCATGTACAATATTTTTACACTTGAATAAACAATAATCAAATGCAGAGACAGTTATTTACCAATATGTTAGGAGTAGTTACATTTATACAGTCTTACATTTACAACCGGCCCTTTGAGGGCGACCATGACGCTGATGTGGCCCAGAGTGAAGATGAGTTTGAGACCCCTGGTGTAGACCTATGTGTTAAACCCTGGACAGCCCCGGCCCAACCTAAACCCTGAGCAGTAGGAACGCTTTTCATTAATCTGGTATTATCACATCAAAGATGAAGAAAGAAAGCATTAAACATGAGTTTTACAGGTAAGAGAAAGAAGGAAGCACAGGCACATGACAAATAAAGTAAATAGAAGTTGTGCCTAACAAACCTCAGCAGATCATACCTTTATATCACCATCATCATTATATCAGGCACTGTCTAAAAGGCCAGATTAGAAAACAATAATAATGTGCGGTCAGAGAGAGAGAGAGAGATTTTTATTTCCTGTTTTCAACCGTTTCTTTCAATAGAACACTCGTAACCATGACGACGAAGGTTTGTTATTTGCAACAATGTTAGAGGTGCAAGATCATAAGATGTGGATGTGGTTCACTTTGAAGGGCAATGTGAGACGACATATTTTGTCATTGAGTTTGCAGGACTTCTTGCGTTAGGGGGACACATGGCAGCGATTCTGAAGCCTGCTGTTGCAGAGCTGCATTCACTTTCTATAACATTCTCTTTCTTGCACTGATGCTGTCTGATTGCATGTCTGGAGACAACTAGTTGAAGTAGATGGCAGTGAAAGGTCACACAGGTTCCATTCCTCCGGTCTGTGCACTTTGAATGTCTGGAGGAGGACAGGCAACGCAGGTGAAGCAACGCCTGTCTGTGACTTTTAATTTGAATTAGATAAGTTTCTATTAGAATCAGTGCTTCCAAAGATGCCACTTGCTTCAGACCTACTGGGACAGCAATGCATCAGCTAAGGTCAGGATTCAAAGCGGTGCTTTTGTGTGATTCTTTATGAAGAGACTCAGTTTTACCATACAGTACAATTCCAAATACTGCAGTCCCTCCTCCTAATATTGGCACTGTACTAGTGGCTCCAGGGGCCCGTGGACAGGTTTTTGTGGTGGCAACAGGCCCCAGCCCTCACTAGCACTCACCCACACCAGTTATCAAACCATGTGCCTTTAATGTACGGCGACTCAGTGCTCATCACTGATCCCCTCTAACTGAATTGAGTTGACCTAAATGGTTCAAACTGAAAACAAACAGGCATGTGGGAATGAATCAATAAGAGTGCTCAATGTGTTGTACATGCACATGAGGACCAGCTCTAATGTGAGGGCAACACGGGGTCACAAGAAGAAGAAAAGCCCTTCAGCCATCAGGGAGGTGAGGACAGGCCGAGGACAGTGGCCCATGTGGGACATTAGTGAGACAGGTCTTACCCTCCAACACAGTGAGCTTGGCGCTGGTGTTGATCTCTCCCACGCCGTTGCTGGCTGTGCATTCGTAGATGGCTTCGTCGCGGTGGGTCCTCAAAGGCTGGATACGCAGCACCGAGCCCGAGCCGTCATCGAACTCAATCACCTGGCCGGACGACAGCAGAGGAGGATTACAGTAATCACCTGTGACATTTCTATTCAAACTCATGCCTGCTGAGCTGTTCTCTGTGGCACACCCACAGAACACCCTGGTGTTCCACGCACGAGGAAGCTTTCCCATTTGCTCAAAGAACAGAGGAGTTCCAAGGAAGTTATTCAGATAGATATTTAAAAAGTCTATAATTCAGAGTAAGTCAATTGTTTCCTGATTCAACACTTTAACAGCCTACGAGTGCCATCCGCCAAAATGAAATCAGACGGGACTACTTTTGATTGTTAGACCTTTGTTATGAATTTCTAGCTAAAGATTTTTAATGATTCATTGCATTATTATGTTGCCATACTGCTGTAAAGGTAAGTAGGCAAAAGTGTTTTAAAGGAACAGTTCAACATAAATACTGTTGAGAGTGAGATTGGAAGATGAATATCAATCTCACATCTGTGTTTTAAACGTCACCAGCTCATCAGAATGACTCAAGGACTCAAGAATTTCAAGGTTTTACTTCGGACCATACTCAAGAAACATGTTCAGTGAAACGGCGCGTGCCATACTCATTAGTCCGTGAAGGGTTCTACATAGTGCCATCCATGAAGAGCTTTTGTGCAATAATGCTGCCATATCATTCAATAATTGTAAAACCAATGCATTGATCTCATCGATCACCGTGTACACATACAGTAGAGTAATTGATTTGGACTGCCAGTTTCTTCCGATGTTCTTTCTAGCGATGTTAGTGCATTATCAGATTTCAGCTATCTTAATGAGTACAATGTAGAGGAATGATGAACCAAACCAAGAAAATGACCCAAGTTGTAATGAACCCAAATTAGCATAACCTCAGGACCTGGGAGCCACCGAAGGAGGATGTAAACAGTGATGAGCTTGAGTGGACAACAGGTATGTGAGGGGGCTTTAGGAATGTTGGGGGGGGTAAAGACTCAGAGGTCAAGGCACTGGGCCTTACACTTCCGCCCCACTGCGGTGTGTGTGACCCAACAAGCCAACTGGCAAGAATCACATTTTTGCTCTAATGAAGGAGTTGAAGAGCTGCACTCTCTTCCTGCCTTGGTAGGGGGTCAACCGGCCCCACACACAGGCACGCCATCAGTTTGAGGAACACTTCCATAGGTGTTGCTGGGAGAACAACGTTCTACTTGTATCCAGGTTGGCACTAGTCACCTTGGGGGTTCTGGGAGGAATGACCCCCAGAACTTTTCTTTTAAATGGTGCGATTTGGCCATTATTCTTATCCCTAGCAAGGCCATCGATTTATGCATGACAACTATAAAATAAGAAAGTATGCTATTTCTTTACTTGTGTAACGTGAAAGTGTATATTAGAATACAAATAACACAAATATCTGTACTTATTATTTTTAAAAGGCAACCAGAATCTACATCTACATACATATATATACATATACACATATACACACATATATACATAGAGAGAGAGAGAGCAGTCAAATAGGCTCTTTAGAGCCAACCGTTCAATAGTCGACTATTTAGGCTCACCTTTACTTCAGTGTTTTTCAAACACGTCTCTCTCTTGCTCTCTGAGTTTGAGAGCAAACTGACAAAAGAACTTGGATGTGAACCAAATGTGGCAATTTCTAAATTCAGGCTAAAAACATTTCTCTCTTCATGTGCCTATGATTGAGCTTCTATGTTTTTACAATGTCTTTATTCTAGTTTATGCAGGTTGTATTTTCCTTTATTAGGCTGACCTTTTAAAAATATTACTATCGGTTTAGTTACTATTTTATGTACTGTGTGCTATCCTTTAATCATTTTCTATATATGGATCTTATTTTTGTTTTCATTTATGGAAAGCACACTGAATTGCCTGAAAATGCCAATTACTTCTGTGATTGGTTCATCCATTTGTGCTTCTGTGTCTAACGGCTGCTTGAAAGTTAGAACCTCTATTTCTGCTTAGTACGTGTTGTGGAAGTCACAGATATCCCGGGAAACTAAACGCGTCATGTCTGGTTCAGAGGAGCTCCGTGGATTTTATCGAGCTGTGTTCACTGTGTCTAGCGAGCCACAGGTCGCTGTTTACTACAGCTGTATGAACACTAAATAAACTGATCTGGCTGTGATTTAACAGCAATAAACCGACAAAAACGGACTCCGAAATAACTACGTAATGATGCCGATTTGTAAAAGGTCTGAATTCATGTTTTGTTAGTTCTCTCTGCAAGACGACAAACAAATCACTTTTAAAATTCTTGTTTTCTCAATGGAGCGGACTGATCGGTGCTATGCTAAGCTAACATTGTAGCAGCTCCACCAACACTCCATAACGTCATGTAGACGTAAATACGGCAGCGTCTATTCATTGTTTGTACCATATGGTTTACACTCACATGTATACACTTAGTTTGGTCCGGTCTCTATTGATATGAGGTATCGTAGAGCTCTGGGTGAACACAGACGGCTACAGGATTTATTTCCTGATTCAACAACGGCAGGAAGTCAGTGATGACAGGGGGAGCAACTCAACGCTGATAGGCCATCACGCCGCAATGTCACCTGTCTTATTCGCCGGAAATTAAAAATGTATTTATTTATTTTTACTTTATTTTTTTAACTTTTCGCCATGCGCTAACTGCGTTTCCTGGTGAAATTCACTGGTGAACTTTAATTAGTGTTAAACATAAATGGGCTATGATGGAACAAATAATTCACATTTGATGGAAATCCGTTTGTAGACCGAGCTCGGCCACCCATGCACTCAACCTAAAGGAGAAACAGGACACGAGCCATCGTAAAGGAGCTCCGACATGGAAAATAGCCTTTTCATACCAGCAAGGTTTAAACTTCTGCATACCGGAAGTAAGACGCTTTGCATAACAGGACTGTGGTGACACTCGGGGTGGGAGGTACTGGAGGTTGATGGGTCAAACCAACACATGACTTTCAACCAGGAGACCGGTGTTTGTGTCCCAAAGTGTTGAGTTCATTTGAAGTGACATGTTTTCCGTACCTCTGTTACGTTTACGTTTTACTTAGCTTACCTACTTATTTTAAGACCACCCATGATGTTTTTCCTAAACCGAAGTGGTTTATTTTTGTCTGTACCTCAGCAAGTGTGTTTGTTTGAATTCATAAGCATTCTTAACCATTTCTTTACTACAAAGGGAGTGTCATAGTTTGACGCGCTGGACAAAAAGGGACACTGCTTCCCTGGACTTGGGAAGCAGCATTTTAGTCCAACAGCTCAACCTTATGTTCATATGGGGATCTAAACACAGAACTGAGAAAAAGAGAATGCTTATTAATATCAGGTAACGACCCATGATCAGATGTCCTTATCCAGATAACTGGTATAATAGATATCCAATCAACTGGCCGCACATCTAATTCCTAAAATTATGATTGATCAACAGTCATTCAACTTTATCAGGAAAACATATGTTCATTCATATGTAAAAATTCTTCAACCGTGAATGAGACTAAGTTATGCATAGGCATATGAGGAACTTTGTCCTGCTGCAACACAATACATGGTTTCTTTAGTCAAAGGCAAATCAATTGAAGTTGGACGCAATTAAGAAATGTCTAGCAAGACCAAGATCAGTAAATGTGTCCTTCTGGGAACATCAAGGTTGTTTCCTGAGTTCTAAAAGCATTATAGCTTGTTGTTTTTGGATGGACATAGATAGTTTAAAGGGTTTGCTTTAAGTCATATTTGTCTTTGACCACTGATTGGCCTTGATTTAAGATACTTTTTCGATTTGATCAATCAAAGAAAGCTTGATTTTACTGAATCTCATTGAATAATGGGTGGAGAGCTGGACTGTCTCCATGCACACACATACAAGGTAGCCGTCAGTTTGAGTAATGCTGAGCAGACAGGTGGAAGATAATTCCTATTACTCATGACATGAACCAAGTGTCTCCGTCTACGCAGGACTCATGTCGAGTCTCTTCACTTGAAGTCATTTGGGTTGGCTGGCAGCTAATGAGCCTTCCTGCTGCTCCGGAGACCTGCAGGAAGGCGCACACAGTCCTGTTAAACAACAGTTACTGTGTGCGGCTGCGTGCGGGAAATGTCTAGATTCTGGTAAGCTTCTGCATATTCTAATGTGCACGAGCTTTTGGAAAGAGACTGAGAAGGTCTGGACCAATACATATGTATTATATAGAAATGACAATTCATCACATTTTTTTGTCAAACCACATCAGGCAGCTGATTACAGAAAAATACCATTCTAGTCTGCTGTTGAAATATTGTGAAACAGTAAATAACTACGTTCACACTGTGCTTAAAGGTTGATCTTTCCAGGACCAGACTCTCTATGGTCAGAGAATGGACAGTGGCTTTTAAATTGGATATCCATTTTGACATGTGTTATTGTCAGGACCCTTGGCAACAGTTTCTCACACACTGGATAGCCCAGCGGGTCAAACTATGACGCTCCACTGCGGTCCCAGTAAACACGTGGTTAACGATGTGAATTCAAACAAAAATGTTTAGGCCACAAAACAATCAGTAAGGTTGAGGAAAAACATCATGGTTGGGCTTAAAATAAGTAGAAGAAGTACCTGTAGAATAAGTGCTAAAAGCTATCAACTGGCTAGCCTAGCCACCGGGCTAAAAACAATAGTAACTCAGGCTAGCAGCAGTCAGGACAGTCCACGTCAAGCTAACAGACATCTGATAACTAAAATTGTTTAGCTTGTTAAAGACTATAAGTAAAACAATCAGGATCGCAACGTGTAGCGTAGAATTGTGGATTAAAAACTGCGTTAAAAACTTAAAAATGTAAATTAATGACAAAGCTTTTGGTGGAGAAATACAATGCCGACGCATGTGTGTTGGTACCTGCAGACTCCGTCGTCCCTATTCTGAAAAGTAAAACTTGCTTAACCCTCTGAACACCAAATCCCGCCGGCGTGATGGAAAAGCCAAAACGACACTGTTTATCACAGCCAGAAGCTGTAAAAACTGTCATTATCGTCACCGTTTCATCTTTCCGACGGTCCTTGAACACATCATGTGTGACGGAAAGCAACCCAAACTATGCTTAAAATTGTGATATTTCACCAATAACATTTTATTCTATGTGTCTCATTTAAAATCTTTTTAAAAAAACGTTTGCTTTAACCAGATTCTGTAAAAAACATTAAATTCTGAGCTCCTCAACGCAACTATGAAGCCATGATTGACTCATCTGAGACAGAAAATCGGTGACACTTTGACTGTACTCCAGGCTGCTACGATGCATTGAGGAGAGGACAAGAGGCTGTAAACATGTATATAGTTCAAAGAATATAACACGTGGAGTCTCCATATTGGGAACACTTGTGGCAACTTGAAAACATGTTGGATTCCAGCATTTATGATTTATGGAATAGTAACTTTGTTATTCTGCACAACAGACATTTCTGAGTTCTCTCTACTTTTATATTGCAAAAACTGCTTTTAGCTTCAATTAGCCGCTCTGTGGCTAGTTTAGCAAATTTGTAATTTAATAATTTACAGATCTAACAAAATCTATGATTACCGTTGGAACTTTGGTCTGAGGTAAGAGGTGTCATGGTCCTCCTTAAATAAACTTGCTATCACACACACACACTGAATAGACTTGACAGCCTATCAGCTGCTGGCTTCTACAGTGGCTGATTACACTTCTGCCCTCCAACCTGTCAGTGCCACTGTTTAACCTGCAGACACTGAACTATCATGCTCACTGTGATGCTGAGCCTCAGGTATTCTAATTTGAATGTTGTGACTAGACTTGATTTGCATTCAGTGGTCTTCAAACAGGCACTAAATAGCTTTCAGTGCATGGTGGCAACTAGTAAATACAGCCCCGGCCTACAGCTCATCCTCACTGCTGCTACACACACATCCACCTGAGTAGATATGTTGACATACTGAGTAGAAAATGAGAGCACACAACCTATTCTACTCTGTCTGTCTTTGTCTTAGACGCACATACAGCAGAGAGCTAATGAGCCGCAATGTTGTGAGACAGGGTGGTTCTGCACACATCCGAGAGGGAGCTTTGAAGGCCTGCTCCCGAGGTCGTACCTCGAAGCGCTGAGAGCTGACTTTCTTCCCCTTCTTCATCCAGGTGATGCGAGGTTTGGGCTCACCCACCGCCTGGCACACGAACGATGCCACTCCTCCCGAAATCCCCGTCTGATCATCGGGGGACTTGATGAAGCCGGGCATGCCTGAGGGAGAGAGACAGCGAGAGGAAGAAAGAGAGGAAGAGATCTGGTCAGATGGAGAGGCCTGACAGAGAAGCAGCTCCAGGCAAGTTACAGGTTGTTTTTTTACATCTGCTGTGGGTCTGGCAATAACAATATGCTCTTTCAAAAGATGCCTCACGTCTGTGAAAAAAAGAACATACACTTCAACATACACTGACTGAAGGTGTCAACTGAAACTATACTGTACATCACCAAGATTAAAGTGGGACATAAAGTGTTGTGCGTGGACAACACTTTATATAAGAAGTGGACATAGTCATCGTGACGTCACCAATTGGTTTGTGGACTGTTGTTTTGAAACTTCGAGTTCGACATTTTGCCCGTCGCCATCTTGGATTTTGGCCGGAGCAATCTTGGCGTTTTGGAGCCAGTGAACGGAAGGGACCATATTTGTACTGCAGAGGAATGACCTAGAGACACAGTGTACAGCTCTGGTAGCAGTAGCCACGTGTCAATCACTGTGTAGCCCCGCCCTAAAGCATCCCCTGCTTTATGGTCTGTTTGACTCTAAATGGACCATAATGTACTAAATGAACATCATGCTGTATTGAAGAAGACTTGAAACTAGAGACTGAGACCATAAACTCATGTTTACAATGTTTACTGAGGTAATAAATCAAGAGAGAAGTCATTTTCTCAGACTTGGACTTTCTCATCGACCTTCCCCTGCTGGCCTTTGGAGAGGGTGCAGGTTTAAGGCACTTCAACATGTTAATCATATATGGGCTTCATGTCGTGGTCTTGCATACAGTATATTAAATGTTACTATCATTTCGATAATCAGGTCACCATTTGATGCAATGCACATTCCTGCCGACTGCAGAAGATGGTGATGCAAAAGTGTAGAGCCTGGAAGCGTCACTGACTGACTCTATGGGGGACAACAGAATACAAAAACGTGTAGTAAATGAAAAGACAGGTTTTTTTCAATGGGGGAGGGGGGGGGGATTAATACATATAGCTAAAAGCTACAGGTTCTAAGCTTTAACTAATAACAGGCAACTTCGATTAGAAGAAATATCTATTTCCATTGCAATTTTTGTGTTTTCCCGAGATTCTGATTCTGGAACATCCCAAACAACAACTATGTGTTTTATGTAAAAATATGATACTTCATCTTCAGTATAGGCCTACCTTAAAGGATCATTGCTGTTCAATCACCAATTGGTTCTTGTTTCAAAAGTTCTGGTCATCATTTCTATTAGGTTTAAGAACTTTGTACTCACTAAGTTAATGGCAGAGATCTGGGAGCACAAAACTAATCCCTCAGCACCCAACTAGTACAAGTACAGTAGGTCAAATTGACATCAGTCTGTACACACAACAGATACCTCGTGTTATGATTTATCTATCTACTTAGTTTTCTCTTCCAAATAATAGGGTTTGTGCTCTTATCAATGTTGCCAAGTCTCCAGATGTGCATCGTACAACAATACGACACAATTCGCAAACCTTGAACAAACATCCCCTATTTGTACACAATTAACAAATATGAAAAACGTAACTCCTCTTTGACTTTGAGTAAATACATCCTATTAGGTCAGATTGCTTGACATTGATTTGTGGAAATGTTGATAACACCAATGAAAGATCCTCAAAACCATCGAGTCAAATTCATTCCTGACACCTATTACTGCTCTAAAGATCATTGTTCTGATGGAACAAGCCAGTCATTTGTGGTGTTATTTATACTGCTGGTGTCTCATTGTTGAAGTCTGGGAGGGACATCCGGTCCTGTAACACTCACAAATCCCAGACAGCATTAAACGTGGGCTGGTTAATGAAACACTGTGTCCAGAGAAGGAGTCAGAATGCCTGAGACTGGTGGAGGATACTTGAAGTGTGGTGGTCAAAGGCATCAAGTATTGTCATCCAGCTGTTCCCCCCTGCCTCGATGCTGTCCTATGTTTGTCCTCTGTCTGTCTTCTGTCAGCACTTCTTCTCCAATAAGAGTTGTTTCTCTGCTGGGATGTTGAAAAGCATGTCTTCTACTCATGTGGTTTGTGGTGCATGGCTCCTTCCCACTCAGAGGCTTCTGGCTGAAAGGTAGCCTCCAAAAATGTGCCCCTCCTTCTTGAACGCTGCTTAGGTGGCCTTCAGCCAGGCAACAGATTAAGTTTTCATCAACACAAAGAGGAGGTATTCCTATTTAATGCAACTGCAAACTGTTCACAACCAGCACAAAATGGATCTGCAGAACGTTCACAGTCAACGGACTCCAAAACATTATCGAAAATGGTTCCTGCAAACTTTGGTTTAGTTTATTTGAGAAGGCACGGTGCATTGAATTAACACACATGGTAGGAAAATGACAGAATTAGCCAAAAGGCTATCTTTCATCTGTAGTTCCTGGTGAGGGTGTTAGAAAAGGCTTCCTTCTAGTGGTGTAACGGACCACTGTCGCTCCATGATCCGTACGGACCCCCCCTCACGGTTCGGCACGCATTCGGACGTTAACCATCACAGTGTGAAATAAAGTTTTACTGGTGATCGCTATCCGCCATATTCAGTAAAATATGCAATCAGGATATCATTCATGCTTTTCTATTCGGCGATCTGATACTGTTACATTGTAAACAACCACTCTGTGTTTAAACTAACAGCAGAAGAGCTAGTAACGCTCTCTTATATACAGTCTATGTAACGGCACCGCTAACGGCCAATGAACGAAGGCTCCGTTCTGTTACATTATGATGCATTCAGGCTCAGGGATCTCTAAAAGTTACTCTGTATTTGCTCCCTTTTTTCTTTGTGCTGATCCGAGCTGTGAATCCGATCCGTAGCCTCGATCTGTGATACGATCCAAACCATGAGTTTTATGAACTGTTGTGCTGCTACTTCTTAGTATACATGAAAAACTGAAACTAACATGCAGTTGTTAAAAGCAGTAGTGACAAAGCGTCAATCATGATCTTATGGATGTTTTTATGCCACTTAAAGCTCTAGGTTATGGTTTAGTTTGTATTAGAAATCCAGACTACCGGGCAAAGAAAAAAATATTTGATCTGGAAGGACAGAACAGATTGTTCCTAAATGCACTGCCAACAGCTTGAATCATATATATTCTAGTACGTATTTCAGGACAGTCCTCTCAAATCGACATACTGACTTGAAGAGCCATTCACGTGTACAACACACTTATAACAATAAGGTGATGTGTGCACTGTGCTGCTCTTCTTGTATGAGTCAGAGCTGTGTGTTTGTCGACTAGTGAAACAGCAGCAGCTGAGAAGTCCGTACCATCGATCAGTAATCCACATCCACAGCATTGTGGCGCCCAACATTTTACAAAATGACGGACTGCAAAGGACAACATGAATGTTCCAGGCGAGGGTTTGGTTCCATTGTCCCTCAGCAGGGAGTCATGATGAAGAGCATTCTGCAAGGCACGGCCAGACGTTTTCACAGCAAACTTTTGGCAACTGATAAGTGTGCTCTTCAAAGTTCAATGCGATTTAAAACCCATTTGTTCAGTTAGAGCCAAGAACTGCTCCCCAGGCACATTTCCATGGAAATCCAAACCTGCAAGTTGCACAACAGGTTACCGCCGGGGTCCACGGTCAACGTACGGCAGGGAAATACCGCCCTTTACAGCGCTGTGCTCGTCAGAGTCGGGCCGGCGCCGAGGATTTCATCAGAGGTTTCAAGAAGGCAGAGGATGTGGGCGGAGGAGAGGCGAGTGGATCGTACCATTATTAAGCTATTTATTTCCCATGGAGGCTGTTGGCTGACCCTGAGGCCTGACACTCTAAATGTAGAACACGCTGGGTCCCTCGCCTCACTTCACCGGCAGCTGTGAGTTGTCTCTCACTGGCATCCTCCTCTGACCCTGTGATGCTTGTTTCCTTAGAAATGAGTCTGTTAGACCTCTCAAATATAATCCAAGGATGGGTGTTTATGAGGAGAAAAAATGAGGAAAAAAGTAGAACTTAAAGAATCTTTCAAACAAGTGTAGAGACACACTATTATGGAGACACTATTATCCATATCCACACTACATCCCGGCCTGTGTGGGTTTTTTCAGTCTTTATATTACATCATCACACTCCTGAAGCATCTTCTCTGGGCGTCTAATAGTAACGCAGATGGGTTTACATTAAGTTACTTGACAGCTCGTGTCATACAAACACTAAAGGGTGTTACGCCGGTATCAGACAGCGAGGGGCGTGGCAAAGCATCAGTATTTGACGTCCTGGGAATGAGAACAGGCTGGACAGTCCCTCACATTTATCACGACCTCACAATGGCTTCTTCAGACATTTCAACATTCATCCTACTAACAACAAACCTTATGAGGCCTGTGTTTGGCACGTTTTTGATCAGGTGACTTGGCTTTGGGAGCTTCTGGAGTTACCTTGGGAGTAAAGCAGTTTATACTCCGGACATCCGATATTTCTCAGGTTAACAGAGATATCAGCCGTAATCCTCAAAGATAATTCTGACATAGAGTGGACCTAATGGGACTTATTTATGTCATGAAATAAAAGACTGTTAACGCCCTCTAATCAGACCAAACTATCTACCTTTTTACATAGTTCACCATAGTGTAGCCTACACTTAGGTGTTAGCATCGGCTTGTGGAGCCAATGATCTACTAGGATACATTTGGTACTTTATGTAGTGGACAAGTAAAAGTCTACCAAAGGGTTGAAATGTTCCTTTTGACTGGAGATCTAATTGGTCAGAAGCAAAGGTAAGAGCTGCTGAAAATCTCATCCACCATGTAACTCTTAATGCTTGGACAGCCAGTATGTCACATCCTCTGGAGGAGATTAGAGTGACACACAACCAAGATGATCCAGTACCCCTGCAGGTGGCAGAGAGTCCTAGCACAGCCATAGATACAGTATGACTATAATAGGCTTAGTTTGTGTGCTAAATGCCAACCACTCCCTGCTCGTTTAGGGACTGATCTTTGCATTAAGACATTCTCACAGAGGACATGCATGGCTGGTTGTTTT